TAATCACACCTCTCATGTAACATGCTATGCTCATTCTGTTGTATTGAAACCATGTGCCTCATAACAGATATAGCTGACTGTTAATTAGTGTCAGGATATTTTTTTAAAAAAATATGTTTCAAATTAATTAGACTCTAGCATCTAAAATTTGAAATTTCATGTCTCATTATAATGAAATGAGTTCCAAGGGGGAAAAAAAAAAAAGCAGGCTCTTGTTTATTGCTTATGAAAATGGATAACTAATGGCAACTGTGTTAAAAATAGTGTTCTGTAGCTGAGAATGTGCTCTATCAGGTAGTGTTGTGTTCTTTGTATTTTTTGTAGTTTCCATGGAAATAAATAGGAAGCATTAATGTCAGAGTAACTGGCATTCTTATTTCTTCATATATACTGGCAAATATATAATCCACTTGATTTCTTAACCTACTTTTACCTGTCAATCAGGTTTACTAAAGTATACATCAATTATTTTCTGACATATTGCTTTGAAAGTTTTTACACACCATTCTCATGGGCTTTTATCCATGAGGAATTTGCTATTAGCCTATAGTGATCCAGAACTTCATCCACTGCAGTACTGAAATTCATTACTGACAGGTTGGTGTGAAGTCAGAATAATGTTGGACTGAACCATGGCACTTAGAGTGGAAATTTGATATGTTTATCTTTCTGTGTAAGTATATACATACATATATATATATAATCACATATATTCGTGTGTTTGTTTAAATATATAAACATGCAACATTTACATACATAAAACAAAAACAACATTAAGGAAAAACAATTTGATTAAAAAGCAAAAACAAAAAACAAAATACTTCATCCAACTGACAGCATGTATAAAATTTAATCTTTACTGACATAAATTGTCATTTGTCAGTTCATAATTTCATCACTCTAAAAGAAAAAAATGGAAACCAAGCAATCAAACACTTGTTGTTAAAGCCAACTGAAGACCTGGTCCTTCAAGATAAGATTCAGATGATGTTTTAAACTGCAATCTGCATTTTGATCAATGTCTGGAAATTTCCTACTAAAATATTCATTCCACATTCTATTAACTACTTTCCTTAACTACTTTAGGAATAGTTTCTCATTGCTTCAGGAGAGATGACTTGATGGACACAGTAAATGGATGCACAGAGTGGTAACATTATACAGAAAGGGTCTCTTGCATATTTCTTCATTCATCTTGAAAGATTATCTAGATAATTTTTTTTGCAAAACTCTAAAACACCTTTTTCTTATGTTTTCCTTTTTGTAAAAAAAGCACAATATATATTTCTTTCTTTCCATTGCTCATAACTGACCTTGTCGAAACACTGGTGAAATGCATATACGATGAAATGACTACGCCAATCCTTCCTCTTCCTCCCTGCATCAGGAAAGATATTATTTATTTAATCTATACTGCAGGTCATTATTTTGCTTGACACATATTGAACAGAACTATTACAGCAGGAAATTCACAAACTCTCTTTGCTCATGCATTTCATGTCTTGTCTGAAAGGTGTTAATGACGGACAGTAGCTTCCCTCTCTATTGCAAAGTGGTAGACATGAAAAATGTTAAACAGGGTTTCTACATGTGTGTCAAGTCCTACTGAATTAGCAGAAAGCTTGCACAAATGGATGACAAAACAGAGTAAAGCCTAGCACTCCAGCAGTAATGATTTTCTTCAATCACATTATTTAGGTCAAGAGGTGAGCAATTGCTTGTGCATCACTTGTTATATACATTTTTACATATGTATTTGTCATTTCTATATATAATCATTATCCTTTTCCTTTTCTTTGCCTTAGTAAATAGTTTTATCTCAACCCAAGAGTTCTACTTTGCTTTTTCCAATTCTCACTGCCATCCTCCTGAGAAGGGGAAGGAGAGCAAACAACATTGTGGTGCTCAGCCACCTGCTGGATTATACCACAACAGAAAAGCATATAATTTCTGACAGGTTTTGTTGCTTTTGCCTTCTTAACCCCATAGCACCTATAGCAGACTACCAACTGTTGCATATTTTTCTGAGGAATCAAAAAAAGTTTCAAGATTTTATTAAATACTTTATATGATCTAAATTCAATGCAATTTACCAAGCGGTAAATCTTGCTAATTTCAAAAGATTTTCAGAGTGTTAGCTGACACAGGATAGTTGCATTTACTTTTGTGTTCAAAAACTTTTAAGTCATTACCAAGAGGCATGAATCAACTACACCAATTTGCAAATAAAATACTTAATAATATTTTGCCCCTTTTCTTTTGTCCTATATATGGCCCATCCTCCTGGCTGTGGTCCTTCAGCAAGTAAGAAATCTTTAATGCCTCGATTCTACCTGCAAGTAACACATGACTAGAGACTATACAACTCAATGTAAACTGAGAACTTTCGGACCCATATCACCCTCATTTTGTTTAATGTCACATCTGCCAACAGTTCAGACAGATTTACCTGCGGCAGCAGCGCAGTTGCTAACTCAGTTCTGAATTCATTGTTCAGAACTCATTTGTTTCTAATCAAGGCTTTTCTTCATTTTTCTTATGTGAGCAAGGAGAAAAAGCAGCGCTGCACAATAGCAAGCTTCACTGTATGACAGTGCAATGACAGACAATTAGAACCTCTCAGCCCAGGAGGTACTCAATGCACTACAGACATCCTATATACTGAAGTGATGACCTATGAGATACAGAGCTGTGCTATATACTCAACACCGTGGGCCACATTTCCCAATACAGACAAAAAACACAGCCCAGAAAAAGGTACCCTGAACACCCACTTTAGCATACTAAAAGCAGTTTGGATACTTAACCTATGATGATCTGCAGTGTGGATCCAACTGACTGAAGTTAAGCCCACGATACATCACCTATGCTTGCCCAGCAACAAAATGTCAGAAATGTCACAGAATATAAAATGCTTCTGAAGAATTTTCCTCTGAGCTGGAAAAACTCAAGACTTACAGAAAAAGTGCTGTCCTTTGAAGAAGCACACTAACAATTGCATGCTACACCCTAGTAGAATAGAGGCTAGAACAGCAGTAATATAAAAGCAGAGATAAAAAGCATGCAAGTTCAGTGGATTTAAGCCTACTTAAATCAACTGAAGATTTTGCAAACAGTTTCCAACACTAAAAACAGAGCAATTTTTATTTTTATTTTTAAACAAGTAAGGATAAAGGACAATCTTTTCAAAAATAAATTCAAACTGCTAGTCAGCGAGGACACAAAACTCACTTACTTTGCAATGGATCACCACCACACGTTGAGGATCACTGTTCAGCCATGATTCCATTGCCTTGCAGATGGTGCACACCTTATCAAGAGGTGGTGCATGGAGATCAGGCCACCCCACATCCATAATCTGCAGAGAATTGTTTCACATGTTACACTTGAATGATATGACATAAATAAATATGTTAACAGTTCTCTACGGGGAAGAATGGGCTACTGTTTTTGTTGTTCTTGTTTTTCACTTTGTTTAAAAAAACAGTACATTTGTAAAAAGAAACACTCTTCCCAAAACCCATCAACCACTGATACATCAAAACATTTCTGACGATCTTTATTTCTTAAAAGAATTTTTAATTAGAAACCGAGCTAATTTTAAATAACAAAATACTCATAAGGTCAACATTACGACACAGACCTGGTCAAATATTTTAAAATTGTTTTTATTTTGTTTAAAATTTCTTTTCTTTGTATGCAAGAGGTCTGATTCATTCATTTTTCCTATTCAATTTCAGTCACTATACAATGCTTCTTCAGCATATTATCATACAATATGCCATTCAGAGATGGAAGGGATTCACAAGGATCATGGATTCCAACTCCTGGCTCCACACAGGACCACAGAAAATTCAAACCACGCTTCTGAGAGCATTATCCAAAAGCTTCTTGAACTCTGTCAGGATTGGTGCCTTGACCTCTGCACTCGAGAGCCTGTTCCAGGCGTGAACACTCTGGATATTTTCCTAATATCCAACCTGGGCCTACACTGATGCAACTTTATGCCATTCCCTCAGGTCCTTTTACTGGTCATCAGAGAGAAGTGATCAGTGCCTGCTCCTCCATCCCTTGTGAGAAAGCTGCAGGCAGCCATGAGGTCACCACTCAGCCTCCTCTTCTCTAAGCTGACGAAATCATATGACTTCATCTGCTCCTTGGCCTCTAGATGCCTCACCATCTTTAAAGTCTCTCCTTCAGATGCTCTGTGTATTTTCTTATGTTGTGCTCAAAACTGACACACCAGTCACAGGACTCTTTCACTTACGCAAAGGATGTAGTGGCTCTGGGACTGAGCCAAGACTTCTAGCTTCTTCTGCTTGCTCCTCATCTGCGTGCACTGATGTAGAAACATTTCGGAAGTGTTTCAAAGTACCTAACAACTCATGGAGCAGACTGAAGGATCTCACCCTCAAATTTTGGTGTGCCATAGTATAGCTTACGACTGGAGAGCCTGGTTTTATCCCTCTCTTCCATCAAGTCTATTCCAGAGCTCTATCAATAACCCTGCTAACTCCCATACAGTCCCCGCTCTGAGAAAGGTGCGTCCCATCAGGTGCCAGGAGACCTGGTGCTGTATAGACAATTCCATGACCCACAAAGCTGAAGTTCTGCCACTGACCAGTCTGGGAGCCATGTACTGATCAAAGAGATCTGCCTGTTCCTTTCATTGCTGTTTCCTTCTACCGAAAGGATAGAGGAAAATAATTATGCTAAGGCCCTGAAGACTCTCTGATAACCCTAGAACTCTTTGCTATTTCATCACTGCCAACATCAAAAAACAATAATGGAAAATAATCTTAGGGCCATACCAGACTAGTGAGTTTTCTACTGGTGTCTTTTATTCAGGTCCAAGCCGCAGTGAGGCAGTAGACTTCTCTATGGCATGGGTCTGGTTGGTGTATCAGGCTCATTGCTCCCTTCAGGAGGGAGTCACCTAGGACAACAACCCTTCTTTTCCTTGAGATAAGCGAAGGTGATACAGGGCAAAATTCTAGGTGATTCGTCCAATCTTGATGATCCTTCATTCACATAATTGTTTGCCTCTCCACCAAATTTCACAGCCTCATACCTCCTGCAAAGGGGCACTTCTGGATGAGGTGGATGAGATAGGCAGGGAGGGGATTCAGCTGGTGCTCAGCAGAAACCTGCTTCCATTCCCCTCTGTCTCTTCAGCCACCGCCAGATGGCAAGAGTGTATTATCTGCATATTTTTAACAGTGACAATATTGGACACTAACAAAAACACTAACCATGAACAACTTAAATCCTTCATGATGAATTAAGTCCTCAAAGGATCAAGAATAAGAGCCTTTTAAATATTTTTCTCCAAATTAAATCTACTGCAATGAGGATGCATCTGCCTGACTCATGCATTATAATAGCTACTGAATAGCAACCTTAATTCATTTTTTACAACAAATGCTTCAAAAGTACTGCCTTCTATTTTATTATGTTGGTCTAACACATCAGAGGAGTGGCAGCACAGACTGAACTTTCCCAACAATATTCCATTACAGTTTGTTGTTGTATCAGAGGAGCAGTTTGACAAACTAGTAAGCAACTGAATTCCTCAGTGCAGAAAAAATGGCATCTATTGACTGATGCTTGCAGAGCATTTATGGAGACCAAACAGTGGATGTTAGCAGAGTGAGACAGTGGGTGATGTGTTTCAGCAGTGGTGATGGAGGCATGAAAGACAAGCCACATTCCAATGGCCATGCAGACTTTCACAAGTCCAGCATGCAGGCTCTTGTCCATCACCGGTAAAAATACATACTTTATGGTGGTGACTGTGTTGAAAAATAGTGTTCTGTAACTGAGAATCTGCTCTATCAAACAGTGTTATTGTGTTATTGTGCTACAAATAGGAGACATCACTTCAGAGTGACCTACACCGAACACTTAGAAGGGGAAAGTATGAGGAAAAACAGAAGACTGACATCAACATTTTACCTGTGTCTCTACTGTACAAAGAAGCAGCAATGAAAAGGCAATATAAAAGTAAAGTTTGTATTTGAATTGAATTCACTAGCTTCAGCCATTAGACAGTACACTAGAGAATATTAGTTTCTGACATCCTGTGAGTACACAAGAAAAGCACACTTGGAGTAAATTTTATTTCACTCAATAAATTTCTTCAGTAGCCACAATAGGTTTCAGGTCCAGTGTGAAGTCGAAGAAAACATATATCTTTGAAAAGCACAGACCAAACAGGTACAACACGTGAAAGTCATCTTATTCTGCAGCAAATCTTGAAGAGCTTTAAGACTTATTAGGCCATTAAAATTATATTTAACACAACAGAAAAAGAGGTGTGATATGGAAAAGAATCAATACCTTTGGGTTAAGCTTGGTAAGGTCATACCTCTTTTCAGAAAGGTTTAGCACCTGTTGAGAAGGAAAAGAGAAAATACCAACCATTAACACTTCAAAATTAACGCAGTAAATCACTACTTGAAACAGATGATTACTGTTGACATGGCAGTTGTAGGACTTCAGGCTTGCTTACTACTTCACTGAACTAAATTAACATTTAGAGTCAGTTAACATAAGTAAATGTGTTTTAGGTACTGTCCAAAGCAACTGCAGTACATTGATGACATTATTGTGTGGGACAACATAGCAGAGGAAGTTTTCAAAAAAGGAGAGAGAATAAATCCTTCCATGAGCTGGTTTCACTATTAAGCAAACAAAGTGAAAGGACCCACATATGAAATTCTACTCCTAGGGATAAAGTGGCAAGATGGATGTCGTCACATCCAAACAGATGTGATCAACAAAATCACTGCCATGTCTCCGCTCACTAATAAAAAAGAGGCACAATCTTTTCTGGGTGTGGTGAGCTTTTGGAGAATGCATGTTCCAAACTACAGCCTCGCTGTAAGCCCTCTTTATCAGGTGACACAGAAGAATAAATGTACATGGGGCCTTGAACAGCAGCAGGCTTTTGAGCAAATTAAGCAGGAGACAGCCTGTGCCGTGGCCCTGGGGCCAGTACGGATGGAACATGATGTAAAGAACATCCTCTACACTGCTGCTGGAGAGAAAGGTCCCACTTGGGGTTCCATTTGGTAAAGAGCCTCAAGACAGACCAAATCTGATCCCTTGGATACTGGAGTCAAAAGTACAGGGGGTCTGAAGAGTGCTACACTTCAACAAAAAGGAAATCTTAGTTGTGCTTGGTTCGGGCTGCTTCTGAAGTGGTCGGTACTGAAACACAGCTCCTTCTGGCATCTTGACTGCCAGTGCTGAACTGGATGTTTAAAGGAAAAGTTCCTTCCACCCATCATGCTACTGATGCCACTTGGAGAAAGTGGATTGCACTGATTACACAACAGCGTGGATGGGGAACCTCAGCCATCCAGGAATCTTAGAGGTGATCATGGACTGGCTTGAAGGTAAAAAGTTCAGCACATCACCAGGAGAAGAGGTAACGTACTGAAGAGGCCACATCATACAAATCATACAATGATTTGATGTTGTTGAATGGGAGAGCTGGCCAGTGCTTTATCTTTATACTGCCTCATGGATGGTGGCAAATGCCTTACAGGCGTGGTTACAGCAGTGGGAACAGAACAACTGGCAAAGAAGGGGTAAACCTATTTGGGCTGCTGAA